GTTGTAGATTCTATACTAATGACAATCCAAAGACACTATAAATACTAAAACAAAAGTAGAACAGTGAAAGAATTTAAAAGATAAAAAAAATGGAAATAAAAATTTAAAGTATAAGAAAGCAGCCATTTCTTAAAATCATAAAAATTCAGACTGATAAACAAGCAAACGATGCCAATTCTATCAAATGGTTCATTGGAAGCTGGGCCAGGACCTGGTGTCCAAATAAAAAAAGAAAAGAAAAACTTCAGAGACTAGTGTACAATTCCTATGACTGAGCCACTAGAAAGCCAATGCATTGTTTCCTGAAGTTCCTGAAAAATAGTTTTTCAAGTAAGAACACTTCTAAAGGTCAAGGTCTGAGTACCATGAGCTGAGAGCCCTTCGATACTTTCACTTCAGCATGTTACTTGTTTTTGAGGCCTTTTCATCGGTGGAAAGAAATCAAAATGCTATCTGGATCCATTAACTTGTTTTATCTTCCATCCTCGAAATTCACTTATATGTCAGCATCTATGACAGTACTTGGTCATGTTCCCTTCCTTTTTCTCATCTTGTCTGGTAGTATTTTGTGATGCCTTCCTTTCTCCTCTGCCCTAATCTAAGTGTGCCCAAATTTAGTCCTTAGTTTTTCTTGTTATCTCTTTCTCCCTTGGATGTATCATCTCTGCCTTATATCAGCTGTCATTCTAGAGAATACTAAACCCCCCAACCTGTTCAGTATTGCTTTCAGGCTATTCTCTCGCCTTCTAATCCAAGTTCTATTTTACACCTAGATTAACCTTTCTGAAATACGGCTTTCTCTCTGGACAACTGTTTCCTTAGTTTGACATAAGGTTCTTTATATTCTGACCAATTCAGTTTTTAAAAATACTGCCTTTCACTCCTTCCTTGCACTGGCTACCTCACCAGATTGATTACTCATCCTTCCCTGAGCAGAGCTCACTATTTACTGTTCACTTCTGCTCTTATACTCAGGGCTTTCTGCTCTCTGTCTTACCCAAGCTTCCCCTTTCAGTGCTGTTGCCCATGAAGACGCCGTGTCACTTCCACTTGCCTTTTCAAAGCTTTCCTGGACCATTCTGGGCCATAGTCATCTATCCTCTCTTGCCTAATTCTTTTGACATGCATATTGCCTGTCTTCTGCATAAAGATTCTAAACTCATTGAAAGTAAGGAGTGCACCATACCTAAAATTCCTAGCACAGTGCTCCCTCTAAATGAGTGTTTTGATTATTTGTAAAAATTGGGGTACGGGGAGATACCTTATGCCTTTATATTTTTATAGGTAGCTGAAGTAAAAGGAGGCAATGCTGAAATATATAGCCTTAAAAACATAATTAGTGGATCTTTATGGGTTTTAGGGAATCTGTTCTTATTTTTAAGGTTTTCTTTAGTTATTAGGTTTAAGTAAATACTCTGTGCCATATTAAGAAGTCTTTTGATCCCCTTTGTAGTCTGATTTGTAAAGCCCAGAGTGAGAAAATATCTTGAAAATTTATCTGAATATGTGGGGACTGAGGAAGCCTGAGCAAAGTTGAATAATTAGACTAAATTTTACTGAGTTCTCATGGGTTGAATGAGTTATTTGGGTAGTAGATTTATTTGNTAGCACAATGTATTACACACGTGTTTGTGGTGATGCTGGTGCAGACAAACTGCCAGTCGTGTAAAAGTATATTACATAAAATTAATTATGTACACAATTACAGTATGTAATACAAATGACAGTGTTACTGGTTTATGTATTTACTTCTTGTTATTATTTCATTCTGCTTATTAAAAAAAGTTTACTGTAGAACAGTATGCCATTACTCCAGCAACAGCCTAATCATTTCATGTTTACCATGTCTCAAGTGCATCATTTTCTCTTGTGCTTACTTAATCTCCTGTTGCTTTGGACAGTAACATGCTGAACCAGGTTTGTAGCCTAGGAGCATAGGTTATACCATATAGCCTAGGTGTGTAGTGGGCTATACCATCTAGATTTCTGTGAGTGCGCTCTCAGATGGTCACACAACAACAAAATCAGCTAATGGTGTATTTCTCAGAATGTATCCCCATCGCTGAGCAGTGCACAACTCTACCTCAGAGGTTTTGGGCGAATTGTCAGATAATACCTGTATAGCCTATAGCACAATGCCTGGAACATAATAAGCATAATAACTATTTTAAAATTGAAGAAACTTAGCTTAGTTTTAATGACTTAAATATCAAATCTTTTGACTCTGCTGCCATGTACAATATAATTCAAGTTATTACTATAGGTTAACATGGTATGAGAACAGTGGCAGTTAAGAGAAGTACTTTATCAACTGACATTGTTTAGAATTGCTAGTGCATGGTGATGATAAAAAATTGACTGCAGCTGGTCTTTTACTCTATATATAGTGCTAGTACCTGGGCACACCTTCTATTGCTCAGCGCTTGGAAATACTGCTGGGTAGGAACACTGGGTTTGTGTCCAATAGATCAAATTCAGTTCTGTTCCACTCTTAATAACTGTGTGATCTGGGGCAACGTATTTGGGCTCTTTAAAGCCTCCTTTCTTCTTTCATAGAGTTGGATAATATAAAACACTACACATAATAGTTTCCCCTCTAACTCAGGAAAGCTGGAGGATAGGTCACAGGACATTTTAACAGCCTCGCAAAGTAGAAGAAGAAATAAAGCAAAGTAAATATGAGACCTTAGCAACTAGACTAGAGCAATCTAGAGTCGTTTACTCTAGGGAAATATATTTTTACACCACTTGCTTCCTGCTGAGACTTTCAGCCTTCTCTGTCTTTGGATTCTCTTCTCCTGCTGTGTACAAGTTGAAGTTTCCCAAGGATTCTTCCTCTGTTCCCTTCTCTGTATAGTCACTTTTAACTAACACTGCAGTGCCAGTCATTGAGCTAGTCCTGTAACTTACAGCAAATTTTGATCATGCT